TCAATATCAAAACTCGTGCCACAGCCACAACTACTGGTGGCGCGCGGATTCCCCACGATTTTGAACTGACTCCCAATCAATTCCTGGGTGAAGTCAATGGTGCTGCCCTTCAACAACTCCAGGCTCGCCGAGTCCATGACCACCTCGGCCTTGCCCGGGCCCGACGGTGCCGTCTCGTCGTCGCTGGCAAATATCGTGTCTTCTTCCCGGTCGATCTTGGACGAGTCCTCCAGGGACATTAAGTACTGGAAGCCGTGGCAGCCGCCGGAGGTCACGGTGACGCGGAGGTGGGAATCTTTTGGCTGCGAGGAGGAAGAGGAGGAGGATGAAGGGACGAGCGTGTTCTTCTTGCTCTGGGGAGAAGCGCTCGTGATCTGTTTCAGGCGTTTGGCCGCTCGCTCCGAGATGGTGATGGTCATCTCGTTGCCGTCTTCGTCGACCCGTGGGTTCTGCACCACCACCGTCGCCTGCCGGACAGGCGAGGAGGAGATGTGTCGTCTTGTTACGTAGTCATTCTTCTTTCCGAGCCGTGGGATGATGGGGTGAGAGTGTGCTTGTCTTGGGGTCGTCGTTTGCCGCTGCAGCGGAGCATTGGAAATACCTCGACATGCTCGGAGGTAGGTCGTCGGGTCTTGTGGTCTGCGTAGAGGACGCGCGGCTCGAAAGGCGAGCCTCATCGAGTTCTGAGACATGGCCTTTACTTTCGCGAGAGCTATTCCTCCGTATGTCGCTGGCGTGCAAGGCGCAGAACACAGGTTGGTGGGTTGGTGTGTCTCTTTGTCACTGGGAAAAATGACGATGGTGGAAAATGCGGCGGCCAAAGGAAAAACCTCGGCGACAACGAGTTGCTGACAATTCCGTCGTTTTCCATTCCGACTGGTTCAACTCATTATTACCTAGAAGAAAAGTCCCCTCTCTATTACACGTCTCTCTAAGCTGGCCACTTTTCTCTTGTGAGTCGTGACTATCTCGTTTGCGAGAGTATCCAGGAGACAAGTGGTGCCACGGGTCCTGCCCGCGAGAAATCAAGTCAAGGTGCACAGAGTGTCGTATTTTCTCTGTCACCATGTCTACAGCAGACATACCCCGTGACCTCTACTCTATGAAAGAACCCGGCGATCCATTTTCCCCAGACTTTGCCCTCTCTCTTGATGCTAGAGATCCGCTATCTCATTTTCGGTCAGAGTTTCACATACCGACTCGGGCAGATCTGAATAGGCCAACGCTGTCTAAATCGCCTGGAGAAGGACCCTCTCAGCCCTGCACGTATCTGTGCGGCAACTCGCTCGGCCTTCAGCCCGTCAGGACCGCGAATCTGGTCAACTCGTTCCTCACACAGTGGCGCACAAAAGGCGTTTTGGGGCATTTCGTCGAGCATTCAGACTCTCCCCTTGCACCGTTCTTGCACATCGATGACCATGCCGCGAAACTCATGGCCCCGATCGTGGGTGCCCTTGAGTCGGAAGTGGCAGTCATGGGTTCCTTGACGGCAAACCTGCATCTCCTCATGTCAAGTTTCTACCGCCCCAGCAAGAAGGGCGAGGGAAGGTGGAAGATCCTGCTTGAGGGTAAAGCCTTTCCAAGCGATCATGTGAGTAGGACCAGGTTCTTCTGGAGGTCTACACAAGCACTGCTGACAACAGTTTCAGTATGCAGTTGAGTCGCAAATCATCCATCATGGCCTTGACCCGGCAGAAGCAATGGTTTTGTTAGAACCTGTCTATGACAGATTCCCCACCTTGTCCACTGACCAAATCCTTCGAGCGATCGACGAGCATAGCTCAGAGCTTGCCTTGATCCTCCTACCAGGCATACAATTCTATACCGGTCAATATTTCGACATCCCTCGTATCACAGCCCATGCTCACTCGCACGGCATCATGATTGGCTGGGACCTGGCACATGCCGCTGGCAATGTTGACCTCAAGCTGCATGATTGGAACGTCGACTTTGCCGCTTGGTGTAGTTACAAGTATCTCAATTCAGGGCCGGGAGCAATGGCTGGCATCTTCATCAACGAGAAGTTTGGCAAAGTCGACATGAAAAGTCCGACTCACAAGTACTGGCCGCGCTTGACCGGATGGTGGGGAGATGATAAATCCAGCAGATTCCAAATGACAAACAGTAAGTTGGAGGTATTATGGTCTACAGTCCTCAGCTGATTTGATCTATGAAGAATTCCTCCCTCGACCAGGTGCCGCGGGGTACCAGGTATCCAATCCAAGCGCGCTCGACCTCGCAGCCGTCGTTGCCTCGTTACAAATCTTCAACGAAACATCCATGAAGGATCTGCGGGAGAAGTCTGTGCGCTTAACCAACTACTTGGAGCACCTCTTGGACGACATCGCGATCAGAAAGCCAGGGAAATTCGACATCATCACAGTTAGAGACGCGAAAGATCGAGGCGCCCAGCTAAGCATCCGACTGGCACCCGGCTTACTCGATGGAGTCCTCCATCATCTCGAACGTGAAGGTGTCATTGTGGACGAGAGAAAACCGGATGTCATTCGAGTTGCTCCCGCACCCTTGTACAACACCTTCACCGATGTTTTCCACTTCTGTCAGGTGCTGGATGATGCTCTCGGCAAAGACAGGTTATCCACGGAAAAGCTAGCTCCAGTATCGGAAGAGCTGGCAGGACTCTGAAATAAGGAGCCCTGCCATAATCCAACTGAAGCGCTTGCTGACGCTCAATCACCCAATCTCATGGTCGGCCACAGAATCTGTACCTGGAACTCTGTGGCAGCTCTCCCCTGAGGGAACAGCCTGGCCCCATGCCATACCCAACGACCCATCAGTCAGGTACATGAGTGGCACGCAATCCACCTAACCAAATAGTGGAAGATTGTGCTTTCTCAGAAGTGCATGGTTCATGCAGACTTGGCGGACTCACAGAACCCAATGCCAATCAATCTTCCTCACTGTCGCTTGGCTCCGCATCACGCCACAAGACAAAGTCGAATCTGCCATCAAGGTTTGCTCGCATGTACTCACGGATCATCTCCTGACTTTCCTCTGCCAAATCATAGTCGGGATCCACAGCCATCAGCGACAGGTTGAACCCTTTCTGCCTCTCGGGATCAAGACTCATCAAGAACTCCATGATCGCACTCAAGGTAAACCGAGTCATGGCGTACAGTGTGAGATTCTTCAAGTACTTGAGGTTCGCAAGAGGTTGGAGGATGTCCGCCGACACTTCTCCACCACTTGTCCAGAAGTCTTCAAGAAGTGGCAGGCTCACAGCCAGAGAAATGATGTGCTCCTCCGAAAACTCATCCGAGACATCTTTCAGGACAAGTTCTTTCAAATTCGTCAAGTTACACAAGCCTTCGACCATAAGTGAGAGATCGTCGGGCATCGTGTCTTCACCAATTCCCTTAAGCCATACTGACTCAAGGGACCTCTGCTCAGCCAGTGCAGTGTGGAATAACTGAGAATTGGTGTGGCGTACGGTATATCCCTCGAGGGATAACCTGGTCAGCCTCACATTAGGCGAACACAATACTCTCGAGAGCAACGCGGGTCCATCAAAGAATTTCTTCAGAGAGAGTTCGCTAAGAGTCCTGCAAGAGCTTAGCCAATCAACGACTTCTAGAAATACATCGTTGTTTCGGAGCTCCAGCTGGACATTGCCATATTTGTCTTCGAGCTTAAGCGCCTGGATCTCGGTGCAGTCCCTGAGCGCATTCAGATTCCGTACAGCATCTTGATTCAGACTTCCCAGATCCAGTTGTTGTAGTGTTTTGTGCCGTCCGAGTGCTTGAAAAGATCTCTTTCCAAGATTATTGTTGCTGATCATTTCAAAGTAACTTAGCGTGTCCGGCTTGAGCTCGTTCAGAAAAGTTGCAAATGCCTCGTCTGCGTCTGGAGACTCCCACTCGCGTAACGTCAAGCTGTGGAAATTATCGCAGTGCTCGGCGATTGCGGCTCCGGCGCCGTTGACCAGCGCATCACCTTTCCAGAGCACCATAGTCTGAAGCTTTGGGGAGCGAGATATCCACCTTGGCAGGAACCCGGGGCTGATATGGCCGTCAATCTCCTCTAACAGCGTCGTCTTCGTGGTCACCGCATCTCCGATTGCATTGACCGTGGCAACGACGTCCACTACCTGCCTCTTGTATTCCGTCTTGGGGAAGTGGAAAGGCTGGAGTTTCCCAGCAAAGAACTGCTTTCGAACGGGACCGGTGAACTTGGGGTCTTCCAGCATCAGCGACAGGTTGCGGAAATCCAGGGTTTTGATGTATCGACAGTAGGGTTTGTAAGTCGTGTGGTCGTCGAGACTCGAGAGAGTGATGGAGCGCCATAATACGGTCCATTTGCGATAGAACTGTGCCTGTTCCGCGGCCTTGGTCGCGAAGTCGGTCGGCCTTTGCCGGACATCCAGGTCGTCTCTCTGCTCGAAGGCCGGAGAATGCTGGTGTAGTCTGCGGACACGTCAATCACCACGAACATGTACAGAAAGGAGTAAACTAGTGGCCAGCAAAACTCACTGGTACATTGTCCGAAGCGCTGGGTCTGCGAATGACTTTGAACTCAGTGCGCATGTGTAGAGCGAGCCGAATTCCCTCTCATTTCCCAGCTCCTCGCATATCAAGGACAGGATTTCATCGGGGAGAACGGTGCCCCGATATGCAGACATGGTGATGGTGTTATCCCTTATATCCAACAACCAGGGCACGCGATAGCGATATCCAAGAGAGGAGTTTGATGAAGGTGGTAGAGAAGGCTTATCGAGAGAGAAGTCCCGGGAGTAGATGACGCTAGGAAATCATCCTTGATAAAGAGACTGCACTGGCGAGAAACATTGATATGTGAGAAGCTGTGTACATTGGAGACTCGTTGCTCATTCTAGTCTCGAAAGTCGAGTTTTGAAATGACATCACCTTTCACCCTCTGTGTCTCCTTTACGCGTCGACCCGCGTCTACCTGCGTCTTCGTCTCCCGGTGCCTCCCCTCACCCTCGTCCCTCATCCACCAGCCGAAACTGCGTCTACACACTCATGCCAACTCTGGTGTTCACTGTGGCTCCTTCTGGGGCGACATATTTCCATGATTTGCTCACCTGCCTGGCAAAATTTGACGAGGATGTTTCCATCGAGGCGACACCTCAGTTTGTGAGTCCCGCCTTGGCTGCAAACAAAGTCATGGCAATCGACTAATGTCCTTGGGGTGAAGTTTCGACTTGCGAGTCTGAATGTTTCCAACACTGCTCATGCGGCGTTCACCCTCAGTTCGTCCTTCTTCGCTAAATACCACTTTTCTCCAGGCCCGCGGACCCCCACAGGGTCTGCATTGCCAAAGAAATGGTCCTGCAAGCTTCAAATACGGGTAAGTCTCTTACCTTATTCTCTTGGATAGACACCTCTGAAACAAGTCAGGCGCTGCTGTCCATCTTCAAGCGTCGCCTGGGCGACCAACGAGACAAGGACACCGCTCTGGAGACTTGCGACTGCGAGCTCCAGGCCAATCCAGACCAGGCAGAATGTCGACTAGTGTTTCGTTTGAATTGCCGGCAGGGTGTCGTCAAGACATATCGCCTGCTCTACGAGCCCGGGGAAATCCTCCAGGCGGCCTTTGATAAGGTCGGGTCGACCAACTACTGGTCGATATCGTCACGGACACTGCGGGACATAGTGGAATACTTTGGCCCCAAAACCGATCAGCTCGATTGGTATTTTCAGAACGGCAAAGTCACGTTTACGAGTTATACGGAGAAGATTCAAGCTGGAAGAGGTATTGACCCTAATCCACTGTCGTCGCTTCTCATTAATTGTGTTGTACAGAAATCCTCAAGCAGCCCATGCATACCTCTGTGGCACTGGAGCGAAAAGATTTCAGCGACTTCAACGTTCAAGAAGGGTTACACATTGGTACTATGGTCAGAGACTTCCGCGCCATCGTAACACACGCCGAGACGATGCATTCACAAGTGACCGCAAGGTATTCGCGAAGCAACCGACCTCTGCAGATCAGTTACGGCGAAAATGGCCTCCAAGCAGAATTCACAATCATGACAAGACGCTCGGCAAATGTCCCAAGTAGCACATCCGTTGCGACAACACCGGCTCGCGATCTATCCATGCGCCCTTCGTCTCGACCTCCTGAAGCACCAACTCTCGCCTCACAAACCTCGTCGTTCAATTCTCGCCCTCCAAGAAGTGCAGATACCAGAATGCCGCCTCCAGCACGCAGCTCTTTGCACAATCGAGATCAGCCTGCACAGACAACATCTGAACAGGCAGATTCAGGAGACTCTGCTCCTGGGCTTGCTGCAGCACCCGCGCCTTCCATGAGCATCGACCCACACAGTCTCTTCATCCCGGCGGATGACGACGACCACCAATGGGACGAACCTAACTTTGAAGAGGAGCCGGACATTGTGACGTGGGACGAAAACGCCGACAACGCTGCGTCGGCATCAAACTCGTCGCGGCGCATTCGCGATTCCGAGTTCCATTCTTTTATCTCGACAAGGGAGCAAGAGCAGCAAGAGCGGACGACTCTGACGAGGTCACGTTTTCCAGCAGAGATTGCTCCGACTCAGCGACTTTCGCAAGTAAAGGGGATTTTTGACTGACCGAAGCGACTGTTAAGACTCACCCGTCTTTCATCCCGCAAACCACGAAACTCGTGGCACAGCCTGCAGCCACGTTCTTCGCGACAATGTCCTCGTCAGGCGTCGGCAGCGGAATCAGATTGTACCGGTCAATCACATTTCCTCTGTCGTCCAGCGTCTCGCCACAATTGCCATGCTCACCCCATCCCCAGGCGATGACTTGGTTGTCCATGGTGAGGGCGATGCAGTGCTCACTTCCCGCTGCCACGTTTTTGACAGCCGGAAGCGTAGAGGGAGGAAGTTGGCCGTGGTTATTTCTGCCTGCACTCTGCAGCTGGTCAGGCCGTGCTCGCGAGAGGATGTGAATCGAACTCCAACCGGAAGTGACCACATCATCTGCTCGAGATATTAGACCGGGACCCCTGCCGTCGAAAACCCTGGTATCTCCCCAGGTCGCCGGCTCCTTGCCTGCCTTGATGAAGACTGTGTACTCCCTACCGAGGACCACTTTCTCCGGAACCCAAGGCAGGAGATCCTCTCCGTGAATCCCTAAACCAATGTTTCGGGGAGACCAGAGAATCTTCTCCGTCTTGAACTGTTCTCCGAGCTGGCCTTTTCGACAACTTCCCCATCCGTAGACCTGCCCGCTTGCAAGGAGGACAACGACGTGCGCTAGGGAACCCACAATGTCAATGATGTCGATAGCTTCGCCACGACGGGTAACTGAGCCAGCGTCGAAGATCTCCCTGACCTGACTACCCGTAGAAGTCATCTTGGGACCTAACCCGAGCTCGCCTTTTGTCCCGGTCCCCCAACCCACGATGATCTTGGAACCCAGGACCGCGAAGGAAGCGTCCCAGGTGGCAGCAGCATCAGTGATGACCCCATTACATCGTCTACCGGTGTCTGACGATGCCGCTGAAGAGGAGAGGATATGCCTGGTGACCTCTTCAAAAACTGCATTGGATGTAGACTCGCGTTCGGCGCCCGGGTCGTCAGAAGTCAACCCTGATTTCCCGGCCACAAACAACCGTCCATCCGTCGTGAGGACGAGACTGTGGTTTCCGCCCGCGACAATCTTTTTGACACTCAGTGCCTGAGCTGTCACCGGCAGCGCCTCAGAGTTCGAGCTCCCGTATCCATGTCCGATCCCATCTGCATCTGAATGCGAATCTAGATGTGATACCTCAGTCCCATCGCCCCTTCGACTCTGCCGCTGCCGCTGCTTGAAGGAAAAGAGACACCGCTCCGGCCGCACGACGTCTCTAGTATGTCCGACCCCGAGCTGTCCAGAGCCGTTGGAGCCGAACGCGTACATGACGGGCATCTTCGCCGTCGCCATCGCCTCTGTAGGAAGAAAAGAAAATCTTGTGCCCAGAAGCGGTGAGGAAGCGGACGCCCCTGGTTCCCTTCCCCCTTGGGGATGTATGGGGATTGTTCACGTGTGGATTCAGAATTAGATCATAATCGCAAGCATAATCAGATCGTAATCGAGGTCAAGTCATGGAGACTGAGGTTGAGGTTGAGGTTGAGGTTAAGGTTGAAACTTTTTTCCAAGGTTTTGAGACGAGAGGTGCCTTTCTCGATGTTTGTATGGAGGCAACAGTTGAGTGGGATTCGGGTCTCGAGGTGACGAGGACGATGATGGCACGGCTCTTGGCGTGTGTGTGTATATATCGGTACTTAGATATGCAATAATACCTCGGATTCAACGCCATTTACCTCGTACGCGTATACAAGCCGTTAATACAAATTCATGTGTTCATTGTCTATGGAGGTAGGTACTCATGAGTCATAAATATGTTGTAACACATGGAGGCGCCGTAACCGCCACCCAGACACCTCGTCAATACCAGCCACCCAAGGAGAGGGTATCACCAACTCTGGACGGAAACGTAAAGGACATCAAAGACGGACGACCGTCTACAAACCTCTCCACCAAGCTGTCCGCTTGACGCGAATCTGAGCCTTCAGCGGTGTATTGGCACTGGAATCACCCACCAGCACATCAAAGGCATCTTTCTCCATCACCCACGCATCCCTCGCCTCATCCCAGAAGCTGGTGGCGTACTTCTTGGAAATCACAATCTCAACCTTCTCGCTCTCGCCAGCCTTCACAAAGACCTTGGTGAAGCCCTTCAATTCCTTGGGAGGTCTATTGATGCTCGGGTTTTGCTGAGCAACGTAAACTTGGACTACTTGCGCACCGTCCAACTCGCCAGTGTTTGAAACCGTAGCAGATACCACGAGCTCAACATCGTCGTCACTGACAGATACATCCTTGATCTTAAAGGTGGTGTAACTGAGACCGTGGCCGAAAGGAAAGGCGACTTCCTTCTTAGTCTTTTCATAGAACCGGTATCCGACATATACATCTTCCCCATAGATGGCTCGATTACGTTCGGATTTGTAGTTGAGGAAAGCCGGGTTGTCTTCGTTCTTGATTGGGAAGCTTAGGGGCAATTTGCCGCTGGGATTAGTGTTGCCAAAGACAACATCTGCAATAGCATTGCCTGTCTCGTTGCCGCCGTACCAAGCTTGGAGAACAGCAGGAGCATCCTTCAGCCAGGGCATTGTGACGGGTGTTCCAGATTGGATGACAATAGCCGTGTTGGGATTGACGGCGAGAACTGCCTTGACGAGCTCGTCACTGCCAGGTGGCAGGTCCATATCTGTCCGGTCGTAGCCTTCGGACTCCCATTCACCATTCAGACCAACACACAGGATCACTTGGTCGACCTCTTTGGCAAGCTCAACGGCTTTTTCAACTTCTGTCTTGATTTCAGCTTTGCGCTCAAGTCCCACCCTCAGCCCGCCAGCGCCAAATCCAGTCGTACCGGGGCTACTGAAAGTCATGGTTGGAAGTGTGCCGAAGGTCACTTTGATGTCGTATGTCTGTCCCTTTTCTAGCGCCATTCTTCCAATCTCCTCTGCGGTACCGGCACCGAAGAACGAGTTACCCGGCCGTTGATGGGTCTCGTTATCGACAACACATTTTCCGTTCACAAAGACTTTTCCCGTGCCGGCGCAGCACAGACTGAAGTCGTAGTCGGTCGTCTCTTCAGGGGTGAAAGTGCCATCTAATTCGAGCCAATAGAGAGATGACTTGATAAGAGGGTGTTTGTAATCGACCAGAAGGATGTCTGACTTGTTCACAAGCACCTCATCAATTGCCTTGCGATTCGTCACGGATGCGGGTTCCAGGAAGACCCTCATCGTCAAGCCATTTTCACTCTTCTTGGTCTTGGTTAAGCGGGTCATGAGCGGTAACGCTTTCCAGCCCGGTGCACCGAGAGCATACTTCGCGTCTGGCACTTGTTTTCGAATTCCATCGAGGGGACTGATAGCATAGTATGGCAACAGTGAAGCTGACCCACCACCACAATAGGCTGCATAAGCCGCATTGGGGCCAATGATGGCAGTGGTTTTGTCCTTCTTGAAAGGCAGGATGTTGTTTTCATTCTTCATTAGGACGATTCCATCAGATGACAGCGCACGAAGAAGAGCGGCCGTTTCGGGGGTGTCGACCGTGGTTTCGGGCGCATTTTCTGGGATACCAAGAGACTGGACTTTCTTGACCAGCTTCAAGACCTCGCGAACTCTGTCATCGATATCAGGCAGCGTAAGCTTGCCACAGCCCATAGCTTGGTTGACTAAGTGTCCACGGATATAGGTAGGACCGGGCATCTCAAGATCGAGGCCTGCTTTGATCGCCTCGGTGGTTGAGTAAGTTCCGAACCTGTCTCGGTCAAAATTTGTGTCTCGAGTATTACAAAGCTGGGACTTACCAGTCGCTCATCACGAGCCCGTCAAAGCCCCATTCGCCACGAAGAACATCCTTGATCAATCGTGGGTTCTCACTCGCATGCGTGCCATTGACCCTGTTGTAAGCAGTCATGTAGCAATCTGGCTTGGAGTCCTTCTGCGCAAGCATGAAAGGCATCAGGTAGATCTCTCGTAGGGCTCGTTCTGTCAGAATGCTGTCGATGGCTTGTCTCTGGTCCTCTTGGTCATTGCAGACATAGTGCTTGATCGTAGCAGCAACGCCGGTCGATTGGATGCCGTTTATAGTTGCAGAACTCATGGCGCCAGCCAGATATGGGTCTTCACTGAAGCTCTCGAACCCACGACCGCCCAACGGTGATCTTTGCATGTTTGTCGTCGGGCCGAGAATGACGGATGCTCCCTTGGCGATGGCCTCAGCACCCTGTAATGCTCCACCTTTTCCGACGAGCTTGGTGTCCCATGTTGCTGCGAGTCCAGTGCCTGTAAGGTATCAGCATCACAAAGGCGCTCGGTGATGAAGCGTAGCTGACCACAAGGAAGACAGGCAGCAGGAACCCCATTAAAGAACCGAGTGCCACGAACACCATTGGGACCGTCGGATACTCGTATCGATGGAACTCCCAGACGGTGTACGGGAGCGGTGTGCCAGAAGTCAATGCCAGACAACAAGGCGACTTTCTCTGGCGTGTTCAGTTGCGAGAGCACGTCTTCGACATCGAAACTGGTCTGGACAGGTAAGGACCCCATTTTGATGGTGTCCTAGGATATGATGGAAGAGCACAAAAGATGGAAAATGACAACTAATAGATGGGGAGCTAATCAAGATTCGTAGACCTGTATAGATGCGGCAGGGGAGGGGAACGTATTATATGGAACTTTGGACTGCCAATAGTGACAATGCCCAGTGATGATTCGACAAATAGTCAACGGAGACACTAATGGCAGAACTTCGGCTCGTCAGGGAAGGAAACTTCACGGACGTGAGATTCGTCGATAGCAGACGGAAAGGGCCATGTTTGTATGTCTAGTTAGAAGTGAGTCCCCGCGGCTCCCATACGGCCCATACCTTCCTGGCTGCTACACCAGGCAGACACATCGGTGGAATCCCGAGCATTGATCGGCACCATCATAGACCCGTAGCTGCCGTATCCCCCAAACAGGATATGTGATGTCCATAACCTTGGGAGAGCTGAATCGTGAAGTCTGGGTCCCGGGATG